GCTGACACCAGTGGCAGCTCTGAGTCCCTGAAAGCTGTGAGAAAAGGCATGCCATGCTTCAAAAGGGCTGCACTGAATTTATGGGCAGTCATGTCTTCCAAAGGAAAAAAAGGACTGCATATTAATCTCCTATTCTCAAAATTTCTCTTGCTCTCTTCCTAAATAATTCTAATGCTTATTAAAAAGGCAAAGTCCTGATAATCATCTCAGAATTCCCTCACTTCTGTATAAATTTCATTGTATTTTGAATCCAGGCACTTTCTCCTAATATACACAATTAATAAGTCTTTTCTTGTTCTCTTCAGAACATTACTTTCGTTTTTCTTCTCATTTAGAGATCTGCTGCAGTGCTCTGTGCTACCTGAGATTTGCCCATATTCCAAAGAATAAGACTTTGCACATATATTGCATTGAGACGGAAAACTCTCTTACCATTCCTGAAAATAGCTGAAGACGGGACTGATCCCTGACAATGTGGAAAAAGGCAGCAATGCTGAAGCTTCTCAGTAATACAGGGGTCATCTGAGTATACTGCTTACTGATTTGGGGTCAGAGGACTATCTGCTCATCCCCCAAGCATCAAGTGTTTTGGTACCTACTAAAGATCTCCCTTCTACATCATCAGAAACCTGAGTTCCTATGAAAGACATACAGGCTTGTTTTCAGATGCCTAAACACTCCCACTGATCTAACCTTTAATCTTTGTGCCCCACTTCCTTTACTGTAAAACCATTCTGACTCTCTGCCCAAGAACCACAGGGTCTACCTAAACCCCTAAATCTACAAATTCCCTTTGGGTGCCATTAGGCACCCAAAATAGGACAAGAGACTTGTGCCAGTCTCCTGAATTTGTCTCATCTTCCCAGCCTTGAGCACCATTTGGAAGAGTTGGTGGACACTGCCATGGATGAAAACAAGTTTTGTGTTTCCTAGAAAGATAAACACAAAGCCACTCTTGCACCCAGAGGAGCTGAGGTGAGGCTCTAGGCTTCTACACCATCCACATGGTAACAGCACTTCTCAGAGGCAGCTGCAAATTCATTACAGCACCCTGAAGTGTGAGAGAGCAAGTAATTACCATCATTGGTCTAGTGCTGGGCTACTCTACGTAGTTTCATCCAGGTCTTCTGAGTAACTATTCCTTAGGTCTGCTCAGGAAGGTCTTTCTTTTGCAGATGCAGACGCCTTTCTGAGCTACTCCCATATGCTGGTGTCATGGCCAGGAATAGTGTTGGTGCTCTGCTCTTAAGTCTCCAGGGAACGGGAAGGACAAGAGAGAGGTTTCAAGAGACTCTAGCAATTATCACAAAGCAGAAGCTGGAGAAGTAGAAGTGGTTTTGCACTCAAAGTGCCAAGCAGAGCTGACCACCCGCATAGCTGCAACCTTGTGCTAACATACTAACTTTGAGGAGATCTCAGCTCATTCCTCATGCTACCTTTACGTGTTCTTAAAGTGCAGAATGAAAAAGGTGTTGGGGTTTGGGTTTTTTTTTCCCTTATGATAATGACTAGAAGATGCAACAACAAACATACATATTTTGTGATCGTTCTTGCATGTCTGGACTTACAGAAAAATATTGTGAAAAGTGAATGTCAACCAACAAGGCTGAAAGAGAAACTAACTGAGAAATACTTTGTGTTTCTGTCTCTTTTTCAGAAATTAAGAATACTGATGGTTGTGCAGAAGGTACACTGAATCCAGAATGAGAACAGACTGTGTTTCTAGCCACCAAAAAGACCAAGAGCTTAGCATATTAATTAAGCTACCAAAGAAACATCCCCACTGGTGGATGTGGCAGCATATGGGGAAGAAGTGTGTATACCAGACAGTGACGGGGAAGAAAGAGTTTTTTGGTAACTATGTGTCGTGGTTTAACCCCAGCCAGCAGCTATGCACCACGCAGACGCTCACTCACTTCCCCCCCACCCAGTGGGATGGGGGAGAAAATTGGGAAAAGAAGCATAACCCATGGGTTGAGATAAGAATGGTTTAATAGAACAGAGAAGAAGAAACTAATAATGATAATGATAACACTAATAAAATTACAACAGTAGTAATAAAAGGATTGGAATGTACAAATGATGCGCAGTGCAATTGCTCACCACCCGCTGACCGACATCCAGCTAGTCCCCACCCCCACTTCCCAGTTCCTATACCAGATGGGACGTCCCATGGTATGGAAAACACCGTTGGCCAGTTTGGGTCAGTTGCCCTGGCTGTGTCCTGTGCCAACTTCTTGTGCCCCTCCAGCTTTCTCGCTGGCTGGGCATGAGAAGCTGAAAAATCCTTGACTTAGTCTAAACACTACTTAGCAACAACTGAAAACATCAGTGTTATCAACATTCTTCGCATACTGAACTCAAAACATAGCACTGTACCAGCTACTAGGAAGACAGTTAACTCTATCCCAGCTGAAACTAGGACACTATGGCTGCTTATAGTCCTCTAAAACCATTACTTACTGATGTTCTTTAGCAGCACACCTAACAGGTTCCGGTAGCTTACTATGGGTGTCGTTAGTGACACTGAAATTTAGTTTACTATAAAAATTAATTTAATTTTTTTTATTTACTAGAAAAGTCAAGGTTTATTAAAGATGACACTTATTTCTATCAAAAGGTAGCAGATCAGAAAAACACTATATGAGGTTTAAAGATTCCCATTAATTTCTTAAGTTTTTAATGACAACCCACAGATGAAATCCACTGTTGCAATTCTGAAAATAGATTGCAAAATTTTCATAGACTGGCCAAAGTCCTCTAATACAGTATAAAAACTGACCAAGACTACTGGCAGAGGGAGGGGCGGCAGGGGAACAAAAAGAAAATCACTTAAATCTCTTATTTTACAGTGAAAGCTGCAGCAATGCACAACAGCATGCTGTCCTGTCTGCCTGGCAAGGCTACTACAGGAAGCAAGCTCCAAAGTCAGTGATGATCCCACCAAATCATGGGAGATTAACTTCTGGTATAGCTAATAAACCTACGTTAAGTGGTACCATGGCAGTAAGAAGTATTTGTTGCTGAGGCAGCTAAACTCCATTCCATGTCTGCAGCTTATACCACAGGCTGTATTACACACAAGGCAAGGGGCTCTGCAGGTACCAGTGAACCACACCAGAGCCATTCTGCCGGATACAGCTCAGAGTCATCATCACAACATAATCACAATGTGCATCACACTTTTACCATGCAATGAGCAGATTGTGAATGACTTCTTTGCACACTACATGAGGGAAGCTTGCTTTCCAACACAGGAACTACCCCTAACCATAGTTCATTATTTTTGCTCACCTGAGAGCAAGTGTTGCTCCCACCTGGAAGTAGAGCTGTGGAAAAGAGCCTCTGAAAAGCTGGGAACTTTGACAAGTATCATGCATACGTGGTGCTACTCTCTTAAGCCAATATACCATGGTTTTTACTAGAAACCTCCATGCAATCACAAGCTGCTACTGCTTGACTTAGAGCCAAGCCTTCCCGCTGCTATATGAGTTTTAGATCTTCTGTGGACGTGACACAAACAGGGCTTCTGCAACATTCGCTCACCTGCAGTCAACACCTCTTTGCTCAGCCCCACAATGGGGATCAAAGCAAAACCCACATGACTGGCCCCAAAATGAGCGTTTTATTTCACACCATTTGCAAGATCCTATCAACAGCCAACCCAGGTGCTGTTTTCATTCTGCCCACACACAAATCAATGACAAAAAGCAAACTCATTCACACAGGTGGTGCATTTCACCACCCTAAAAGTCAGGATTTTCTCATACCCTTCATTTAATGCCACTGCTGTCAAATGCGTAACATGTAACGAAAACAGCCTTTATGTAACCTAATAAATAAAAGTCACCGAGGCAATAGCTATGCATAAATTTTAGCTAAAAACATTTTGTTAGAAGAACATGAATGTCCTCTGTAAAGCAGCTAGCATTTTAAAATAATGTTCTAGACATTGTTAATACTTTATTGCTATTCATCATAGAACCATTAATCATGGTGAACTCATTTGGTATTACTGTGGATGTCATAAAGTACTTCTGTTGCATTTCAATTATAACTCAGCCTTTAAAATGCTGCCAGCAGTACATGGAAAGCTTTGAAAACCAAATTTGAATAGTCTGTTCAGAGATAAATGCAATCACATTCTGACACAGAGAAGCAATCTTTTCCATTTCTAATGCCTACCCTCAAGGGGCTGAGGAGCCCGTGGGGCTCTGGCCTGACCCAGGGCTGGATGTAAGGAAGAGGGAGCCCAGCGGGAGGCTCCGCGGAAGCCACGGCCATCCAGACCCAGTCATTTTCCTCCCCCAAGATGAGGGTAGGAGAAGCATTCCTTTGGGCTGTTTCAATGCCACCGGTTCAACCGCAGCTAAGCAGCAGCAAGGCCAGCCATACTTTCAGGCCCCTAGGGAGATCTCCTTTTTTCCTATCATTCCTGTGATTCCCCGAGGCACTATCTTGCTTCCAGAGCCGAGTGTTTCAGCTTTTCTCTGATGTGTAGTGTCTGTCCAAACAAAAACACCAGAGAGACCATATATCTACAACCTACTGTCTTTAGAGACAGCAAAGGAGTATGCAATATATCAGAGCGGACCTAAGGGAGCTGATATGCTGACCTCTCTGATGACAGTTTAAAAAAAAACAAACACAAAACTCTTTCTGGCCTCAAGAAGCACTGAAAGAGGAAAACAGGCAGCATAAAATGCAACATGGACCTAAACAACTATCAGCTCCTTGCCATCAGGGAAGTCAGGAACTTCTGTAAGTTTACCTTGACAAACCAGAATTTTTGTTCCCTCACTGCCAGCGGAGCTTCCACCAGCATTTTATATACAAAATCAAATGACAACAGCTCAAGAATTGTAACACTTCTCATCAGAAAAGACAAAATACTTATTAGCTATGGGAACTTTTATTATTTCAAATTCTTGCATATAATTCCCATTCTATTTTATCTAGGTCATCAATGTAACATGTAAGCACAGAGCAAAAATTCCTACCTTGGGAGCTCTGGCATGTTTTCCGCATCTGGCATCTTTGACAAGGCTGATATCTAGCAGCTCAGTCTCCTAGAAGGAAAAAATGCAACACAGATAATTATTACATTAGTCAAAAAGGCTTGTTGTGTTAACAATGCCTCACTTCCCACATCAGTCAGGGGTTTGTCTGTTTGCAACGATGCCTGTCCAAACTGAAAACAGTTTCAATGAGTGCTCTGTTGCACTTAAGCTGTTTGAATAGTAATACGAAGACCTTAGACACATAAACTTAGTTTCCTTAAAAATGTGCAGTTCTCTTAAGATATATAGAATATATAGAAGCCATGAGTCAAGTTTATTTCCTTGATCATTAACTACCAGCTGCTGTGCTTTTTTTTTCTGTTTAATACAATTTAAGCATTTTGATGCTAGCCACAGTGTGAAAAAGGTGATGTTACAAACAGAAAACCCTGCCTCTGCAATAGAAAACCTACTTTATTATTGCCAGAACATTTTGAGAAGTGCACATAAAACCCAAGAAGTGTTATACCTACAATGATAACAGGTTCCGACATTTTTAGTGACTACTGCTCAATAAAACCCATGTACTTTCATAGTTCATAACATTATTCTCAAATTGTGGGTTATACAACACATGCCATACTTGGAACAAAACTGGCGCATGATGACAGCTTCTGTTAGGCAAATTCCTGTCCTCCCCTATACAAATTTAACGTGAAGAATCTCCTTTCACCGATAACCTCTTGGGTCTCCACCCTCCCTGCCGGTGCCTGGCAGCATAGGAAGGATGAGGGCTGAGCTGAGCCCACGGTGCCCTGGGTGAGGCTGCCAGTGCAAGCGCAGCAAGGTGCACCCACCCCTCTGGGATCAGCACGGAGCATTCACCTGTCCAAAAACGCAGCAAATTATAACCTTCAGCCAACATCATTTTCCCCTATCTCATCCTGCAACAGGGCATTTTTGGATGTTGCCATGTTGGTTCTTTCTTGAATGCCTTAACATTTATGGGCAGGGAGAGTTTGGAAGGAGGAAGGATGCTGGAGACTGGAGCAGTGCGATTCCCAGCTGCTGGCTCCCTTGCAGGCACGCATATCCACATGGCAGTATTCTTGCTTTGACAGCAGCAACACCAACTGTCCTACGAGACACAGCAAGAACATCTGACCTGATTTAGCATTACTTGACAATCTTAAAGCACATCTTAATACTGTCCACCTCAGTTACACTAGCATTTGGACTAATAGCCCATGTTAGCATAGCTCAATTACATACTAAATATAGTCTAAAAGTACTTCAGCAGGAGTGTGACCACGCTGCAAATAGAGCTACACCAGTTCAATGCATTTCAGCCTTCCAGTAGTAATTGCAAATACTGTGCAGAGAATTTGAAATCTCTGTGCCGGACACAGCCGCAACATTTTTTTTAATTCCAAGGAGAAAAGAAAAAAAAAAATTTTTCTCATGGACTTGTTATTTTGCCATGGGTTACTTTGTATCCGTATTTCTTTTTCATTTTAAGGGACCCACTCCTCCACAACTCTTGTAGACCTTTGTTGGCTACTAAGACATAAGCTCTACCACCAAATTTTCATGTGACCTTTCATTCACCACATTCCCTTCTGTCCCCCATATCAATCCCAATTGCCTTCTGTTGTAGTGGCTGCTGAATTGGCATGAGCATTTTTGTCCCTCTTCATCTAGCCTGTTTAGGGGAAACTTGCACTTTGGAGATCTTTATTTTTTGCTCTTGCCTGAAAGAGGACAAGCGTATAAAAAACTGCAGGGATTAGAAAGAAGTACAGGCGGGATTGTAAAAGGTGGTATTTTGTAAACTTCCTTAGGAAATAACCCAAACTACACTAATACACAAGGCATATGGACACAAGCACTCTTCTGACCACGCTGCAGCCTCTCAGGTGGACTGCTGATTGCTGTGCATTAAAGGTTGTCTACAGCTGCCCCTCTTCCAACTCAGGAGCACCTGATGGTTTGTAAACCCAACGTTCAGGTCCAGTTTGAAGCTGATCTTGCCTCCAGATCTAAACTACACTGACCCTTATCCTGCCCAGCACAAGCACAACTGACATCAGGAGGTAGGGCAAAGTTCAATACTCTGAGTGCAGAAAAGCCCTTAATGCACCAAAGTCTTGGTAATTTCTCACTATTTGATGAGACAACTGCATAAGGAATATCTAAAAATTGCATAGGACAGAAAGCACTAGATCTCTATCTCCCAACGTGACTGGTCTCCAGGCCTGGATGGGTTCTGCTCCTCACCAAAAGGAAATTATTACAAGGGTGAAAAAAGAATACTGATTTTTACCAGCCACAGATCTGTCCCTGGGTTTTACAATAACATTCCCACATTCATATCATTCCTCTCTCAGTGGAATTTATGTCTCAAGTCCCAGCGATGCTGGAGTAGTGCAAATAGGTCTCCATGTATTTTACTTCTTCTGAAATCTAGTCCATGTCACATTTGCATCTCAAAATGCAGCATGATACTCATAGTGCTTGTGGAGATGCTACAAATTATTTTTCAATTAAAACAGAATTTGTTCCCCCTCGCTTTTCTTTTAAAGAAGTGGTGGGAGAAGAGAATGACTCTGTTACTCTCTCAAGTTGTTTCTGTGAAACATGACAGTGCCAATTACATCATGTTACCACCTGGGATATACCAGTGGAAGGCAAACTCCATGCTCAACACAGGAAAAAAAAAAATTAAAATAAATAAATAGATATGTAATCAGAGAGAAAAAAGCCAAAGCAGCACTATGAAATAGCTATGTATGCAGGTATTGCAGCAGGTGCAACTTCAAATAAAACAGGAAAATGGCACACTGGAGGGCTTATCTTTGAGTCAATGCATGCGGCCATTTAGATACTGGCAGAAGTGAAAATAATGAAACATGGCAGAGCTACATTTGGGTTTATCACACTCAGAGCAAGAACTAAGGTGGGAAACAGAAGAGTCATGACATAATTACAGGGAGAAGGACACCAGACAACACCATGCAAAAGGCAAGAAATTGGAAAGAAAACCAGGGCTGAAAGCCAGCATATTCTGTGAACATCAAGCAAAGGAAAGCCAAGACAGGGCAGAGACAGGCTGAAAGTCCATCAGCAGAAATGCACAGAGCAACGTGCAGAGCAGAGCATGGAGACGACGGCACTTCAGATCTACGGACGATGCACTCAGCAAGGGCGGATGTGCCCACATTTGCTGTTATCAGACAAGAACATGGCCTTCGGGGTGAGAGGCCAGGGGTTATATACACAACAAATGATACTCACACCCTGAAGTGGTCTCCAGCCCACTGTGAAACGTTCCACAGAAGCTACAGGCACATGTAGAGCATGTAAAAATAAGATTTTGCCGAATAAAAGGACTGACAAGCACTACAGACAAAGGCTTTAGCAGCAAACACGAGAGAAATGAAAGATGCTGAAGAAAAATGGATCTTAAACAAAGATGCTGAGCCACACACAGAGTGAATTTCAGAAGTTTTTTTGGTTGGATTGGTCTGGCATTTTAGCTTTTTTAATTAAAAAAACCCCAGCGAACAGAATTAATCATTTATACACTTAGAAAAGTGCAACTAGACCTCCCATAACACAAACATAAAAAGACCCTTTTAAATGGAATAACACACATTAGAAAGAGACACAGAAAAGGAAAAGGCAATGACCAGCATCCCCAAGGACAGTAAATGGAACCTGAACAACCCTGCTCGGGTCTGCACCCTCCCGGATGGATGAGGATGAGGAGGAATAGGGTTGTTTCGGAGTTTTGACTACTACTTTCAAGCTGCTTGCATGCCACCAAGCCACTTGCAGAAAATGTGATAGCCTGAGGACCTAAGACCTAGCAAGGACAGTCTAAGAAGAATATGGGAAGAGTGGAGTTTTGTGGGGCTACTTTGACAAGACCAGCTGGCATGGCTGTAGGAAAGGTTGACCCCCTAAACATTCATCTTATGGCCTTGCTGCACTGCTACCTCGCTGACGCAGAAAGATGGTTTTATAATCCTATCCCTATAATCCTTTATATCTCTATTTAACAAGACCACTTAATTTGTGGGGGTTCTCTCCTAGGCGATAATTACGGAAGCCACAGGAAAATAAAGTCCAAAGTCTCAACCACCATCAGGTATCAGAAAGGAATGGTCCAGCTTCCAGAAGTACATTTGATATGTATGTTCAGGTCTGCAGAAGCAATAGCCCGATAGGTACTGTAGCCTATGCTCTAAATTAAGTAGACAAGAGCAGGATATGCATCCACGAAGTGCCTCTGCAGGCAGCATTCAGCAGGGCTTGGATAAATCAGAATTCATAATGTGCCATTTCTTAGAAGTTCCTTGGTTCAAAAATACCAAACCTCCTGGAATTCCCTGACCCCTGGGCACTTGCTTTCATCTTTCAAACAACTAATTAAGAGGACAGAGCGCAACTTCCTCACAAATGAGAAAAAAGACAATTTCCTATCTCTCTACTGCAAAACATGGGCAGACTTTTGTAAAGGGAAAATACACTTAAATACTGGACAGAAAAATACCCCATTTCCTATGCAGCAAAACAGCCCAAGCCCTCCTCTGCTTAAGTCAACAGGAGTTTTGCTGCTGACTTCCTCCATGCAGGCTTGGAAACTGCACTCTGCTGCATGAGGCACAAAAGCCATAGCAACTGGAGAAAGGAAAAAAAAAAAGAAAAAAAAAAGAAAACCGAACACAAAAACCTCTGCAAGTCCAACTTTTCCCTGCTTAGAGACCTTCAGTCATTGCTGTTAGGACTTATTAATCTTGCAACAGAGTAACATCTCCTAATGCAAGTGGTAGATCATTCCAGTAATTTATAATACAGAAATTCCAGAGAATTGAATTATTAATCCTACCATGTTTGTTTTCAATTAGCAGCTGAGACAGAGATGCATTCATATAGGACTAGATTGTGCAATCTCACTGTTATGGGTGAGCACACACTCACAAAAGCAATGAATTGTGCAACCCTCAGTGACTGCTTGAGCACTTATAATTAGACCCGTCTGAATTTAATATAGTAACACCAATTTA